ACGGTCAGCAGTGACAAGTTTTTTCAATATGAAAACTGGGTAAGAGATGTCTCGAGTCCTGCGGAGGGATGGGTAGGGTACCCTGGCTGACCACTGGCTCCTACTGAGTACAAGATGTAGACCTTGTACCCAATCTCATGCCCGAGCACCGCAGTTCGAGGGATTATTGCTTCGGAGAAGGAACATGATTTTTTAACAATCGTGAAATCCAAGATGGCGGAAACAAAAAGGAAAATTCTAGAATTTATCTTATTCATATTTGACACTTGACCACACCATATTGTATGTTTCATCAATATAACTTTTAAAATGCTTTTAGCCGGGTAAAGACATTCATGTCCACCACTAATCCGACGAAATACCTTATTCGCACTTAATTTCGCGCGTACTTATTTTCGCGAAATCGACAGATCCGTATTTCGCGAGGCTTTATTTTTGCGATATCAGAGAAAAAAGGGCTCAAAGACCTAACATTTTGCGAAAACATCGTCTTTATTTTCGCAAAAATTAATACGCGCAAAATAAGTAGGTCCAAAATAGCACAGACTAAATACATGTAGTGTTAAAGGCGTCATACAGTCCACCTCATTTGACATATGACTACTGTATATCAACCATCAATTGCACATTAAAATATGCTGGGAGATATGTGTCAGAAGTTTTAAGTCGCTTCGCTCGCTCGGTTGCGGGTCAATTCTAAACATTTGGACAAAAAGGAGTAAAATAATATAGAAATGAATTGTACAACTTGTTCGTTGTTGCTGTAGGATGATTGCATATTGAATGCTAATGATTTTTCAGAAGTCACAGCTGGAAACGAGCTCGATGGATGTTTTTAATTTAGACTTTAATTGTTTGTCTGTTTATCATACACTTCAAATCAAACGTTTAGCATACACGCGTCGCGAAAAGCAAGCAAAATGCGCAAATTGCTAAAGATAGCGCGCATAGGTCGTGAACATCCGGAGACTCACGTTAGTATATGTTCGGACTGTATTTCCAAACTCGTAATTTTCGAAGCCGAATCCTCAAAATAACCGAAAAACGTCCCACACCGAAAACCACAACACGTAGTTTCAACTCAAAATTCGTCCAATTTATTCTCCGCTTATACTCCGCTAATTTCAAATTAGCCAATAACGCGCGCGTTTATAAAATTAACCAATCAAATCAACTAAAACAAATGACGCTTGAAACTATTAGAATTATATACATTGTAAAAAAAGGCCTCAAGGCCTCAGTATACCGCAACCAAACTCGCGCAAACTTTTTTTTGCTTTAAAAATATAGGTTTTGGTACCGGTTTTGGTACTTTATGGGTATTGGTGTGGAAGCCCGTTGATTTTTCAAACACTAGGTAATTAATAAGAGAGAAAGGGTAATGGCAACCATTCCGTCAATAACAGACTCAGGCGCCGTCTACACTAATGCGTTTTCGATAAAGGCCCCGTTTTTGTTTTACCGAAAACGCATCAAAAGCATCGCGTCCGCACTATCGTTTTCGCAAGGCTCCTTTTTCAAATATCTCCACTCTGGACGTATTCCTTTTCAATGAAAACGATCATAATAATAATTGATCTATATCGATCAGCGCTTTCGATCGTTTTAGTGTGGATCCCAGACAGGCGAAAAAGCATCGAAAAATTATGCGTTTTCAAACGAAAACGCATTTGCGTGGACGGGGCCTCAATTGATATGAAGATTTTACATCCATATAATTATAATCTTGATCAGAGGATAGCATATATTATGAATTCGGATCCGCTTTATCTAAATAGCTTTCATTGCATTTTTTTGTAGGGATTATTCCTTTTTTTGTCGCATAGAAATGTTTTAGAAACAAAACTGAAATTTGAAGCTGAAAACAAGCCCTCGTCAAATAGTAAAAGTCGTTTAACTTTTATCGATGCGAACGTACTAAAGTGAATAGCTCTTTTCACGGTTAACTTGTGATATTTGCATAACAATACACTTGAACATAGAAGCGAGGCAATTTCGGGCACCAGCTGCAAACAATCGTGTTTTTCTTGAGCTCCTTAAACTCTTTTAGTATAAAAACAGTTTTGAAATATAGAAGAACTACAATTCTTTTAGTTTACGTTTTTAGAACAAATTGTAAAACAACTTTTCTCTATTAATAAAGAGTAGATTCGCATAAGCAACAGGGAGATCGGGTTACGATCTTTACGGCAAACTTTAACTAAAAGAGTTGTATATTTAGTTCTTCTCCGTTTTAAAGCTATTTTTATACTAACATAGTTCAAGGAACTAGTATAAAAACAGTTTTGAAATATAGAAGAACTACAATTCTTTTTTTGATTTTTCAAACACTAGGTAATTAATAAGAGAGAAAGGGTGATCAATAACAGACTCAGGCAGACTACAATTCTTTTAGTTTACGTTTTTAGAACAAATTGTAAAACAACTTTTCTCTTAAAGAGTAGATTCGCATAAGCAACAGGGAGATCGGGTTACGATCTTTACGGCAAACTTTAACTAAAAGAGTTGTATATTTAGTCCTTCTTAACTGTATTGTTATGCAAATATTTCAGGTTAACCGTGAAAAGGGCTATTGTTATTTATTCGGTTTTGACGAATTGATCATTCTCAATAAATAATCTTAAGTTTGAATTTGCTTTTGCTAATATTTATTTGGTACTTTAACAAAATAAGTAAAAATAATAAAGAAATCATGCACCTGAAAAAATTAGTCAAACCGGTATTAAGCGAACACCCTTTATTAAGCGGACAGTAGCAGAAGTCCCAAAATTTATTTCCCTTATTTACTGTAAATTATACCTCTATTAAGCGGACGTGGACACCAGCAAAAGTGGCTTAAATGGTTGTTTTTATCGTTACAAACCTGTATTAAACGGACACTCGTATACGTGTACCCTCCAATATGCCTAACTTACAATTGACTAAAAGTACGTTGCTGGAGTGAGTATTCCCTTTATTATGGAAACTGAGGACCCCTCAGTAGCCTGCCATCTATTAAGTTAATGACTTGCTTCAGAAAAAAAATAAAGCTACAGAAATTAAACTAAAGCTATGAGAGTAAGATTTATCATTTATTCGCAAGATGCCTGAGCCTGCCCGAAAGGGTGACAAAAGTCGCGTGATCACCGTTCAATATAACGCTTTGTTTTGTATTTTTCTCTGATAAAAATTTCATTGTGATATCAATGTATATAAGATTCCCTTCCTCCCGTTCTTGAACTGCCAAATATAGGACACCGATTGGTTTTGTTTGTATACGATACAGTCTTTTTTTTATGATTAAGAACGTGCTAAGAACATAGCCCGGTTGAGACTTAGCTAAGAACATTTTTATTCACTTGTTTCTTGCATCGATCGCGAGCTCTAAATACAATATTCCAATATCCTTTCAAAACGTTAACAAAATGTAACATTTCAAATATCTCAGTTGATACGCAGTTCAAATGAGCTCAAAATACTTGAATGCACATTTTTATAGTAACAACATGATACGGCAAACATGTGATAAAAAACGCTTAGGCTGTGTTTTGGTGTTTTATACAGGTTTCCAGCAGAGTTTCCTGGGTTTCACGTTCGAATCTTTTTTTGTGAAATTCTATACCATGTAACTTAAGAACATGTTAAGAACGTTTTCAGGCTGAAATCGCCAAAAAAATAAGAACATTCGGTTTTGGTTCAGCCTCAGCTCGAAAATTAGACGTTCTTATAAAAAAAGAGTGTATATCACGTATTCTATGGGAACCTGTTTTAAGCGGACATCCTACGGACACTAGAGCATTCCCCGAGGGTGTCCGCTTAATACAGGTATGACTGTACCTGAAAGATGATCATCGGGAGCCTTTTCACAGGCTATTGTAGCCCTGTGCTCGTCTTCAATTAAACAGGCCTATTTACCAGCACAAACAACAATTTATTCACAAATAGAAAGTTAATCATGTCGCAGCTGCTGTTTCTAATTAGCGAATATGATTGATAGAGAGGTAGAGCTCCTTTTGGTGACCGGTCGATTCAAAATTTTCGGACCATAAACAAGACATATAATGTAGAATTCGCGTTTTTAATTTGTTCGCTGTTCCTCTAGGAAGATTCCACGTCGCATAAGCTTTCAATTATTGTTGTTGAGTTTATTAAATGCTAATTTTTCCTTTCTTATGTCACCGCCTTGTTATAATAAGCATATTCTCTGTTTAATCTTCATTTTAATGGCATCTTCCTGTCATGTTGATGGAATATTTTAGATCCAGATCACTTTTTCCATTTACGTTTATGTATCCCCAAACTAATTGTTTTCTCATAGACCATGGTGATGAAAACAAAGGCTAGTATTGAATATGAGTAGTAGTGGCAATCGCAAAAAATACTGTATATTTTTCATTAAAAAAAAGATGTTCACAACCAGATGTTTACAACCGAAGCGCTTGATCTTCAGCACTTTGCCTGCTATTTGCTACAAGCTTTTGAGAGAAAAAAGAAGCTAATTCAACGGTTATGTTTACGATGAAATTTCAATTTTGTTGCGCCATTGCGAGACAAGTTGCACGAAACGTTGTGAGACATGTTCTTTTTCAGGATGTCGGGAAAATTCTAGACCATCGGGGATTTTCCTATTTCCCGACCGTCCCAGACATTCCCGACTTATGAAAACACGACGAGGTAGATGTCTCCCATTGTCTCCCTGAGTCGGGAATGTCTGGGACGGTCGGGAAATAACAAAATCCCCGATGGTCTGGGATTTTCCCCACTTATGAAAACCAGGCTTTACGTTGGGCAATTTTTTGTGCAACTTTGTATCGCAACAAAAATTGCGAAAAAAAAATTGCCTAGCGTATCAGCGCCTTTAGAGTTACTTACTACGGTCTAGTTTTGCGCCTGAACCCAGTAGATTAGGTAACTCCCTCTAGATCTCTTGGTTTTGTAGGATCCCGAAGTATATAAATATTTAAATAGATTGATATGTGCGCAATATTTCAGCAGTTCCAAAAGAAAGCCTGAAAAAATTCAGGCTTGAACGGGATTCGAACCCATGACCTCTGCGATACCGGTGCAGTGCTCTACCACTGAACTGAGCTATCAAGCCCGAGCTGGTCATATTGTGAGTTCGTACGTACACGTAATAAACCCGTCGAGGATGAATATATGACTGAGAGTGAATAACTGATGAAAAACATTGTTATTCGGTTGAGAGAAACTAACTAAATAAATATCAACAATTGCACAAGGTGGGTTGAAAGTTAAAATAATAATTAACGACATCTGCGACTCTTATACATGTGAATAAATTGTCAGTTGCTGCTTGTGCTGGTAAATGGCTCGTTTAACTCAAGACGAGCGCGGGGTTAGATAATCATTTGTCAGGTAAACATAAATTCTATATTTTCTTAGTTATTTTTACTTGTTGTATTACAAAGTATCATATAAATACAGACAATACAATTCAAAGTTAATTTGCTGTTGTAAGAATGGACAATTTGCCAAAAAACATTAATCACAACTCACTTTATTAGCAGAAGAAGCAGAAGAAGAAGAAGAAGAAGAAGAGGAAGAAGAAAAAGCAGACGAAGCAGAAGCAGAAGCAGAAGCAGAAGCAGAAGCAGAAGCAGAAGCAGAAGCAGAAGCAGAAGCAGAAGCAGAAGCAGAAGCAGAAGCAGAAGCAGAAGCAGAAGCAGAAGCAGAAGCAGAAGCAGAAGCAGAAGCAGAAGAAGAAGAAGTAAGGTGGGACTCGAACCCACGACCTTCGGGTTACATGTCCACTGCTTTACCGTCTGAGCTACAGAGCCATCGATGGGAACAGCGCATGAGTGAATCCCTTCGATCTTACATGTGTACAGGAGTTTCCTGCAGCAAACATGTTTAACATGTAGTTACATGTAAAAAAAAAACATAAAAACAAGGATAACAGTGTTTTGATTCTAAATTATAGAACCATCCTCAAGCAAATCAATTAAATGAATAATTGCTACACTGCAAATCCTGACCACTGAAAACAATTCAGTGGCTCAGGTGGGAATAGAATTAACGGGATACACGGGGTGCACCCATATTAAATTACTTTTATGACCAGCAGCAAGCAGTATTTACCCTGTCAAAAATACGAACCTATTTACGAACCTAAATAGCCTGATTCCTCACTAGACATAAAATATATAAGAACCATTTCAACCTGCCTTGGAATAATAAGGGTTCTTATACGCGGGTTTTTACTGTATTGGATGTTTTGAAACAACTCGCCCCAGTCTCCTGAAATTCGAAACCGAGAGGAAAATTTTTAATACGGTCAGCAGGGACAACATTTTTCAATATGAAAACTCGGTAAGAGATTCCCGGGTCATGCGGAGGGATGGGGAGGGAGAGAGATGCCCTGGCTGAACCCTGGCTCCTACTGAGTACAAGATGTAGACCTTGTACCCAATCCCATGCCCGAGCACCGCAGTCCGAGGGATTATTGGTTCCGGAGAAGAAAAGGACGGAATCGACAATCGAGCGAACCAAGCCGTATATTTACAGCGTTAGCATCCTTAATACGCTGTAAATATATATATTATTAACGATTTTATAACAGCTATTTTGATAATATATACTGATTTTTTAGCAATCTTGAAATCCAAGATGGCGGAAACAAAAAGGAAGACTCTAGAATTTCTCTTATTCATATTTGACACTTGACCACACCATATTGTATATTTCATCAATATAACTTTTAAAAATGCTTTTAGCCGGGTAAAGGGGGAGGAGACATTCATGTCCACCACTAATCCGACGAAATACCTTATTCGTACTTATTTTCGCGAAATCGACAGATCCGTATTTCGCGAGGCTTTATTTTCGCGATTTCAGAGAAAAAAGGGCTCAAAGGCCTAAAAGTTTGCGAAAATACCGTCTTTATTTTCGCGAGAATTAAGACGCGCGAAAATAAGTAGGTCCAAAATAGCACAGCCTAAATACATGTTTTGTTAAAGGCGTCATACAGTCCACCTCATTTGACATATGACTACTGTATATCAACCATCAATTGCACATTAAAATATGCTGGGAGCCATGTGTCAGAAGTTTTAAGTCGCTTCGCTCGCTCGGTTGCGGGTCAAACGTTTGGGCAAAAAGGAGTAAAATAATATAGAAATGAATTTTACAACTTGTTCGTTGTTGCTGTAGGATGATTGCATATTGAATGCTAATGATTTTTCAGAAGTCACAGCTGGAAACGAGCTCGATGGATGTTTTTAACTTAGACTTTAATTGTTTGTCTGTTTATCATACACTTCAAATCAAACGTTTAGCATACACGCGTCGCGAAAAGCAAGCAAAATGCACAAATTGCTGAAGATAGCGCGCATAGGTCGTGAACATCTGGAGACTCACGTTAATATATTTTCGGACTGTATTTCCAAACTCGTAATTTTCGAAGCCGAATCCTCAAAAATAAGCGAAAAACGTCCCACACCGAAAACCACAACACGCAGTTTCAACTCAAAATTCGTCCAATTTATTCTCCGCTTATACTCCGCTAATTTCAAATTAGCCAATAACGCGCGCGTTTATAAAATTAACCAATCAAATCAACTAAAACAAATGACGCCTGAAACTACTAGAATTATATACATTGTAAAAAAAGGCCTCAAGGCCTCAGTATACCGCAACCAAACTCACGCAAACTTTTTTTTCTTTAAAAATATAGGTTTTGGTACCGTTTTTGGTACTTTATGGGTATTGGTATGGAAACCCGTTGATTTTTCAAACACTAGGTAATTAATAAGAGAGGAAGGGTAATGGCAACCATTCCGTCAATAACAGACTCAGGCGCCGTCCACACTAATGCGTTCTCGATAAAGGCCCCGTTTTTGTTTTACCGAAAACGCATCAAAAGCATCGCGTTCACACTATCGTTTTCGCAAGGCTCCTTTTTCAAATATCTCCACTCTGGACGTATGCCTTTTCGATGAAAACGATAATAATAATAATAATAATAATAATAATAATAATAATAATAATAATAATAATTGATCTATGTCGATCAGAGCTTTCGATCGTTTTAGTGTGGATCCCAGATAGGCGAAAAAGCATCGAAAAATTATGCGTTTTCAAACGAAAACGCATTTGCGTGGAGATTAATATGAAGATTTTACATCAATATAATTATAATCTTGATCAGAGGATAGCATATATTATGAATTCTGATCCGCTTTATCTAAATAGCTTTCATTGCATTTTTTTGTAGGGATTATTCCTTTTTTTGTCGCATAGAAATGTTTTAGAAACAAAACTGAAATTTGAAGCTGAAAACAAGCCCTCGTCAAATAGTAAAAGTCGTTTAACTTTTATCGATGCGAACGTACTAAAGTGAATAGCCCTTTTCACGGTTAACTTGTGATATTTGCATAACAATACACTTGAACATAGAAGCGAGGCAATTTCGGGCACCAGCTGCAAACAATCGTGTTTTTCTTGAGCTCCTTAAACTCTTTTAGTATAAAAACAGTTTTGAAATATAGAAGAACTACAATTCTTTTTTTGATTTTTCAAACACTAGGTAATTAATAAGAGAGAAAGGGTGATCAATAACAGACTCAGGCAGACTACAATTCTTTTAGTTTACGTTTTTAGAACAAATTGTAAAACAACTTTTCTCTTAAAGAGTAGATTCGCATAAGCAACAGGGAGATCGGGTTACGATCTTTACGGCAAACTTTAACTAAAAGAGTTGTATATTTAGTCCTTCTTAACTGTATTGTTATGCAAATATTTCAGGTTAACCGTGAAAAGGCTTACACACGCATTTCCAGCATGTCCGGGCTCCGAAATTCACGTTCTTTCAGAATGAGAAATTATATCGCTGTCGTTATCTGCTAGCGGTATACATGTACTCTTGAAGCCACTCATCGTAAGGACCTTCTGGGTCTGAGTTGTCTGTTGCTGCTTCTATAAACCTGTATATTAAAACTCATCGCACTCAACTTCATCAACAGTCGAAGAAACACTGAATTATGCGTCTGATCGCTCAGAATCGCTCCCAAACTCAAAATCATCCGTAGACATAACTTTGTGTAAGTTTTGACGGTTCTAGACAAAATTTGAACTAAAATATATCTGGTTATACACGGCTACAAGCCACGAAACTCCTCGCTGTCTTTGCGTTGTTGTCGAAGGCGTTCTGGTTTTGACGTCACGACCGACTCGGTCCAGGACTCCACCCCGCTCGGCTTTTTACCTAACCTATGTATGTTGCATAGCATACGAAACGGTTTTTTGCAACATGCGTTGTTGTATAATGTTTATATCTGCTATTTGTGTTTTGTTCTTAATTAAGCTAAGATGGCCGAAGAACAAGAGTGTTTATAAAAATGTGATTTCCTTGGTTGTTTTCGCTCGAAAACGAAGACGTGTTCTTTTCGTTGTTTTCTGATTTCGCTTATTTTCATCTGACTTCGCTTCCCGTTCCAGTAGTAGCATTACTGACGCGTATCTGAAAGACTCTCGCTGTAGCCTGCAAATGCAGCTCAGACGGATTTTTTTCGTTGCCGAGATATTTGCTCGGCGGCGTGAAAGATCAGGCCGAAAATCCTCCAGCGCTGCGTTTGCAGGCTGCACGCAGCCCTTCGCTGCGAGCTTGAAAAAGTTTCCCGAAGAAAACAACGAAGATTTGGTTTACGTCATTCTTAGCAACGACTTCATTGAAACAGGATTCGCACTGTTAGTCTGTTGCCCGGCACCGCTATGTCTTCAACGAATAGTGCCGGCTTTCTATCCTTTCTACTCCTAGATTTTTTGTGGGGGAGCCTCAGAGTCTAGTGACCGAGGGGGAGGAGGGGTGGATTGCTCTTTCCCCCCTCAAGGTGAAATTGGCCGCTTATAAAACCCTTCAGCAGGGGTTCTTGCTGTTTTCAACGTCACTTGCCCCAGACATCCGGTTGTGACTACCACACGGTCAATATGACGCAATCGACATTAGCTAAAATTAGCCACTAGAGAATTTCTCTTCCACAGGCTTTCTGGAGAATTTCTTCCAACTTTTAGAGAAAATTTCGATTTTCGTGTCGTGTAAGTGCTCTTTTCATGTTTCTTTAAAAAGAAACAAGTGAAATA